ACAAAGAAGTTTTAATTTGATCCTTGTGTAGGATCATAGAAGAAGTCCATTTACATTTTAATAATGCACCAAGCTTGAGTTCAAACCATAGGGACTATGTTTTAGCTATGGAGGCAAGGAGCCATCAAGTTAGTCCTCATATTGAAGTGAATTATATGCTAGCCGCTATCAAGAATATCTATTTTTAGAGAACTAGCTGACCAGTTCCCGCTTATATGGAGTATTATGCATGCCTTTGATCTTATCCTCGGACCATTCTTGCTCAATTTGCTTGGTTATCTAATAAGCTACATTAAGAATACTAAGTTCTTCAAACAAGATGATGACAATAGAAGATTCATAAGGAGAGCTTTAGTTCTAGTGCATTTCTAACCTAATATTAAAGAAAGATGATGTTTGGTGGAGATTCATACATAGTTGTGCCTTCAGTAAGATGACTAACTAGTACTTAGTCTCAATGCTTAGATTTCCGATGTAGTTGTTATGTTGTTTATATTAATAGCCATTATCACTTCAACATGTTTTCAACCATTTAGGTTTGTCTTTTTAAATCCTTATTCTTCCTTCATTCATATTGAATTCTAGATATTTATCATTAACGAATATCATTATTAGCCTTATACAAACTATTTGAAATCAACATTCTCTATTTATTTCATGTTTTTAGGTGTTAAATTTAAATAACATAATAAATCCAATGAAATTCTATATCATATACTCGTAACTTTACTAATTATACGTGTCAAAAAAAGTTTAACCAATTAGAACTATCAAATAGTATACATTATGTTGTATCACCTAAATTTTTATTTGCATTATCGTCATGGTAAAAATTAATATAAATAAAAATATGATATTTTGATTTTTTTCATACTAAACTTTTGTACCTACGAGCTCCACCATTTCTTGTACTTGTAGATTGTTTATTCCTAGACTATCCCTATTTTTCTTGAAAATATTTTTGATGCTACAAGTCTTCTTATTAGACGTTTCGTTGATGTGAAGTGATGGGAGGATTTTAACTGAGAGCTACTCAATGCTGTTAGTGGTGTTATTGTGGTATGGACCCTTGGAGTGAGTTGGTGGCATCTAGGGTTAGATAATAAGGGGAACTATGAGTGTGGTTAAGTATAACATGAGTGAATTATTTCTAACTTTTTGTGGTAAGTGAAGGCTTTCATAGGCTCTTATTGTTTATGATTTTTTTGGAGAATAGGGTGAAGGTTAGTCCCCTCTTATTGTTTACGTTTTGTGGTAAGTGAAGGCTTCCACCTGGCGTTTAGAATCTTCCTAGGCAAAAATAGGGGTTTCCGTCCCCCTAGACTGGGCCTGCCTGCATGTTTAGACCAGCTAGTCTGGCTAGGCCAAGCTTGTCCAGGCAGTTCTAGAAGGTACTGGTGTAACTATGATAGCCCGAGCTTTCACCCATCAATGTATTATCCGCTTTGATCTATTGGCTCCACAGTTTTGTCTTGTTGGTGTAACTTCCCAGGAGGTCACCCAACCTAGAAGTGATCCATGACAATCACACTTATCTTTAGAGTTTCGAATCGAAACTCCAACCATTATACCAAAATGTGCATCGATGTTTAAGAGTTTGGCTTCAAATACTTAAGGGATTTCATATCTCTCCCACTTAAGTACCTGACGTCCTTGTCAGTTCTCTATACCCAAAAGCATCCACCAAGAAGATGAGATTCTAGAGGTGGGCCCTATACATTCAAGTGGTGGCTCCCACCATGTAACACTTTGTTTCATTCAGGGTTCAAGAGATGGCTCCCATGGCGTGACATTTTATTTTGTATGACACGTAATTCTCATCTTCTGGCTGGTATAATACTCTGATACCATTTGTGATAGTCGAAACTCTCGCCCATCAAGGTATTTGTCCACTTTGACCTAATGGCCTCACGATTTTGCTTCGTTAGTATAGCATCCCAGGTGATCACCTATCCTATGAGTGTTTCAACATGAACACACTTAACTTTGGAGTTTCTAATAAAATTCTACTATTGCACTAAAATGTGTCTCGATGTTTAAGAATTAGGCTTCAATCACTTAATAGGTTTTACAATCTCCCCCTCTTAAGTAATTATTGTCTTCGTCATTGCTCTATACTCAGAATCATCTATCAGGTAGATGGGATTCTAGAGGTGTCCCCTACAGATTCAAGAGGTAGCGTCCACCGTGTAGTACTTTGTCCCATCTTGGGTTCAAGAGGTGATTCCCTTGGCGTAACAATTTGGTTTGTATGTCACTTTGTTTCCATCATGTTGGTGCAATGCTTTGATACCATTTTTGATAGCCCGAACTCTCGCCCATCAAGGTATTGTTCTCTTTGGCCCAGTGGCCTCACGGTTTTGGCATATTGGTGTAACTTCCTCGGAGGTCACCCATCCTAGGAGTGTTCTGAGACGAGCACATTTAATTTTTAAGTTTTTGTCGAAATTCCAACCGTTTACCTCCAAAAAGTGCATCGATGTTTAGGAGTTCGGCTTCATTATACTTAAGGGGTTTCACATTCTCTCTCATTTAAATAACTTATATCCTCGTCAGTTTTCGTATCCCATAATCATCCACCATACATATAGGATTCTAGAGGTGGCTCCCATCATGTAGCATTTTGTCCCATCTTAGGTTTAAGAGGTGGCTCCCATGTTGTAGCACCTTGGTCTGTATGGCACTTAGTTCCCAAACTTAGTTCCATCTTCTGGCTAGTGTAATGCTCTGATACCATTTATGACAGCCCGAACTCTCACACAGGAGGGTATTGTCCGCTTTGGCTCAGTGACCTCACAGTTTTGCCTCGTTAGTGTAACTTCATAAGTCACCCATCCTAAAAATGCTTCTGCGCAAGCATGCTTAACTTTAGAGTTTCTAATGAAATTTCATCATTACACTAAAAGACATCTCAATGTTTAAGAGTTCGGCTTCAATCTACCTAAGAGGTCTCACTATAACAGCTATCCAACTAGCCTAATGAAGTTTAGGATTAGCCTTAGGCTACCACTATTTACAAGGGTAACTACTTCCATGGTTTATCAATAAAATAATATTTTTTGAAACTAATATTTAATTTCATTGTATGCATTTTTGCCAAAATCAATAAATGTGAGGCACAACCCTGTACTAAAGTTTCATTCCATATTATTTCTCCTATGAAAAATATCTTAAAAAGATGAATACAATCTGTCAAGGATTGTTACCACGGCATCTAAGGTATTTGGGAGAGATTAACTAACGTTCCTATCTTGAACTTAATGTAAGATGATGCACATATATGAAGAAAATTGAATCAATTTAATTTGTCTATTGTAATTGTTATAATATGAATTATCCCTATAGTTTGGATTTATGAAAAAACAAGAATCATTCTCATTTATGTCTAATTTGGATCCCTCTATAGTTTCGCTTTCCTCCTGAACCCTTTTCTCAAAATGAGAAGAGGATCGTACAGGGTTTAGTTGCTCTTTTTTAAGTGCTTGTTGCTTACCGAAGATCCAATTTCTAAAATTGGTAGGTCGTTGGGTTATTCAAATAAGTTATTTTTTCGGTGGTTTTTCCATGTCACAACTGGTTCATCCAGCTATGCCTTGAGCCTTTTGCTCAATGGTGGCCGGCCATTGTCTAGCCCAGGAATGCGTTGGATATCTTTGTGGTTGTATTAAATAACTGCATTAGATCAAAGTTTCAGCCGTGAATTTGAGCCCTTACTCCTCCACTCAACCATTCTTTCTTGGGAAAAAGTTTGTAAGAGCTTTTCATTCTCTTTCATTAATGCTATCGTCTCTTTTCAGGTCTCTCTGTCTTATGCCCTTCTGAAAAAAAAAAACAAAACAAAAAGATCGTTTCTTTTGCTCGCAAGGCTTATAAAAAAAACAGAAAGATATGCTCCACGCATTCCTTCTAAAGTGTTATTCAAGTTGTTAATATATTTTGTCCGGTTTTATCGAACTTCTAGCTGTATTAATTTTAATAGTTTTATTTCTATTTTATAATCATTTTTCACCAATTCTCATCATTCACATTTTATTTACATCTTCCTGTCTTTTGTACATGCCTAAAACATATCTATCACCTATTTTTAGCTTCTTATACTCTTGTTGTCCCTAAAATATATTCTCCCTCTATCATTACTACTTTTTTCACAGATCATTTTATAGTCTTATTACTACTATCATGTCTACACTAATTGTAGGCACCATTGTTTATCCAAATAATTGAATCTACACAGTTTGACTAATTGCCTTTTTTAAAAAAATTTGTTAGGCTTCTTTGATATCATTTTTTGTACTCGTGCAACCATAATCTTGGACAATCACTAATCCATTGCGTTTCGAGAATCACTCAACCAAACAACAGAACTTCTTACCTTCATACTTAAGCGCTCTCCCAAAACCCTAGCATATATGAAATTTTTGGCCAATTAAATGAGGTAATTACTAACTTTGGAGTGTGATAAAGCAAAAGTGACTAATGGATGAAAATTGTGGTTGAGAAGGATAATTGGTATTCAATTTATGATTAATTATTCCTTTTCTTTTTATTGAAATATCTTTGCCTTTGGTTTGACATTTGTCGAAACAATGCCTCTATTATGGACACTCTTGGTAGTTTTCTGCTGTTTTCATGTTGTTATTGGTGCTGAAGGGCAATCTGTGCTAAAAATTGTTAAGGGAACTCAATGTACATACCAAACAATTTTTAGGTATTACATATCTAACACCTAAGTTTTCATATTTACATTTATAAGACTCTGGTCATAAACCAATGCATGAAATGTAAGTAATAGTGGTAGTTTTTATGTGAGGTTAAAGAGTCAAGTTTATGACTGTAAATATGAAATTTTTAAGTGTTAGATATGTGAATTGATAAGAATTGGGTGGTATGTATGTAAATGGCAACTTTTAAATATGTTCTGCAAGAAGCGTTGCGCTTATCCTTCTTTTACAGTATGACAAAATAATATTTAATCTGAGGCCATGGTCATTTATCTACAGGGAGGATGGGAAAATGATGAAACTGTTGAAGAGGCAGCCTTGCGGGAAGCCCTTGAGGAAGCAGGGGTTAGAGGAGAACTTAAAGTAAGTGTTCTTCTCACTTCTTTGCCATATAGAATTTCTTTTTTTTTCTTATTTTTAAATTATTTTTTTAAGATGGAGAAAATATTTTGGGGATTTAGCTTGACTATGCCAATGATGATGAAATTGTTATTAATGAGAATATGATTTGGCCAAACAATTAAATCTACTATGTCAGGAATGGCCAAGCCATGATTAAGTGTTACTAAAAAACAAATGGTTGAATTAACTACTTTAGCAGTATTCATTGTTGGTTTGAAGGATATCAAAAGACTATTTTACCATTTCTCTATTGCTTCAAAGAATATAAGTGCTAACATAGTCTCTTAACTATTTACATGAGATCATTCCAGTCACATAGTCAATAAAAGTGTGAAATTAGTCTTTATACCCTTTTAAGAGTGGCTGTAATAGTCCCCTTTTTTAAAAGTTTGGGGAATATTTTAGCTCTATAGGGACTAAATTGACACTTTTATAGACTTGGACTTAACCACAAAGAGTTGGGGTATCACTTCAGCACTTTTCTCCGAACAAATTTTCCGCGTGACTAACGATTGTATGAGCTTCACAGGATTTTTTGGGATATTATTATTTCCGCAGCAAAAGTCTTCAGGATGAATTCAGTCCGGAAGGATTATGCAAGGCCGCAATGTTCCCATTGCTGGTCACAGAAGAACTCTGCTCATGGCCAGAACAGAGCACTCGTCGGAGGAGTTGGGTTACAATTCCTGAGGCCGCAGAGCAATGTAGACATCCATGGATGGAGGAGGCTCTTGTTGAGGGATTTTCAAAGTGGCACGCCAAACAAATGAATTATGTAGATGAGGATTAACCCCCAACCCCCCGGTAATGGAAACTAATTTGAGCTCATTTTTGGAGATTCAGCTGAATAGACTTCCTTCATCTCAAGCTTATTTTAGTTTATTGAAGTTCTCAGGCTTTGGTTAAATTTGTTTTATGCTTAAAAGATGTTATGTTTTTTTGTTATTTGAACATGTATTGCTATACCTGAATTCTTCTTGTTTTTTTTTCCTTTGATTTTTTTCATATTGGAATTACTTTTGGTTTAGGAATTATTCCAGAATTTTAATATTGATTAATATGCATGACAATAATAGACAATCAATCACTTGTATCGAACTCATATTAAAGTAATTTGGATACTCATTTTTTTTTTGTCTGATTTTCATGATTAATTATGATTGATGGTTGAGCATGTGTTCTGTAAACAAATGAATGGCGCTGATGGTGCATTCAATGGCAGCATATTTTATGAAGAAAATCAGTTTTTCCTTGGCATTTATATGCATACCACACAATTCCTATGTATTTACATATCTAAACATTCATTTTTACATGCATAACATTCAAATCCTTAACATGACGTTAAAAAAATATCACCATCATTATCATTTTAGACGTGAAATGCACATTTTTATGTACAAGTTTATGATATCAACATGCTATATAAGTGTAAATATAAAATTTTGGAAGTTAAATTTGTAATTATATTAGAATTGTGGCGTGTATGTAAATGTCCCTTTTAATTCCTTATGATGAAGTGGAACAGATTGGCTGTAAATAATCAACCCCTCATTTTATCAAAAAAAAAAAAAAAAAAAAGGTAAAACGGAAAAATAAACATGTTAATTAAGAAAAGTAGCTTTGAAGAATTTATTGTTTGGTTTTATTATTTAAAGAAGATTTATTTTTGGCTAAATACTAGACAAGCCAAAGGCAACAAAATTACCACCTGATTCGATAACAAATAATCAAATAAGACCACCACACCCACCGGAGACAAAGCTTCGGAACATATGAAATGTCACTAAAACATGACAAGCCATACATGAAGGATATATCAATTTACTCTCTCCATATATATATATATATATAGGGCA